ACAGAGAAACCCTGTCTCAAAAAACAACAAAAAAAAGTGATGGGGGAGAGAGCTCCAAGGATGCAGCTCAGTTGACAGAGTGTTTGCCTAGCATCCACAAAGCCTTGGGTTGAATCCCCAGCACATCTTAAATTGGCACATGCCCATCTTCCCAACCCTCAGGAGATAGAAGCAGGAGAATCAGGAATCCAAGGGTATTCTTGGCTGTGTAGCAATTTCAAGACTCACCTGGGATACATGAAACCCTACCTCAAATAAATAAATAAATAAATGGGAAAGAAGGAAAGAATTAGTTTGGGACATAAAATTATCACAGTATTATGCAACCAGAGAATAACGAAATATAAATATTATAAAAGATAAAATAATGAATAGTATTAATGGGAAGGCATTAATCCAGCATTTTAGTTTGTTAGTTAACATGACAAAAGAGATGTAGAAAAACAATCTTAAACTGCTCTTACTAAGCCAGCAGAGGTCTACTTTGATGCTGCCTGCCAGATGGAAAATGATGCAGAGGGGAAAAAATCCTGTATTTACTTCTCAAAATTAAGACAGGATGGAGGAGTGTGTTTGAGGGGTGAACATATGTGTATAAATATGGTATAAGTCTTAATTGGTTCCTTATGATTAAAATTGAAACTGTTTCCCTTGGAAAGGCAGAGATATGGTATTTTCACTTACAAGTGATTTATTTTTACCTCGTTAAACCAGAAATCAAACACTAGATGCAGGTTCCAAGCCTATTTTGATGTATATTGATATTTTTTTTTCCTTTTCAGGGTCGCTATGGCAACTGCATCTTCTCAAGTTCTGATTCCAGACATCAATTTTAATGATGCCTTTGAAAACTTTGCTTTAGATTTTTCTAGAGAAAAGAAACTATTGGAGGGGCTAGACTATTTAACAGGTGTGAATGTACTGTGCTTTCCTTCCCTTTTTATTTTTTCTTTTTGTACCTTTTTAGTCTAAAGTAAGCTGAAAAAGGAAAGATTTACGATGAGAATTTTTTAAATAAGCCTTTACATAACAGATGTACATAACCTTTTTAGAAAAGATAGGTATGTTTAGGTTTGGTATGGTTATGGGCCACATGTACTGTTTTAGAAAAACAATATATTTTAGTTCATGTTACATAAAAGAAAAGTGGACGTCTGGGGCACTGTGGCTCATTGGTAGAGACCTTGACCAATATTTCATATAGTGCAGACCACAGTAGCAGCAAAAAAAGAGAGTTTTATCAAAACAAATTTGTCAAATTCATTTCTTTCAAAGTATCACGTTATTTCCCTGAGCTGTTAGGACTCAGGTTTAGTTTTTCAGATAAATTTTTTATGTAACAAATAGGTGTCAGAAGTGACAGCCTATAATTGTTAAACTGATTGAAATAAAGACTAATAAATACCCATGAAGAATACAAAGAAAGTAAAGGATGAAATCAGCTTGTTAAGAATGCTAGCTACTTTCTGGATTACTCAGTGGTCATTTCTTGAGAACAATCTAGGCACAGTAACTTTATTATTTGTAGCTATATTGTTATACCAATGCAACTGTTACTTGTTATCTACTTCATTCCAGACAGTACATATTAATGTTGTATCATTAATGTTTGTAACAAGTCTATATGGTAATGCCCATTTTACAGTGGGAAATTCTTATCAATTTGCATTTTAAATACTGTCAAACATCTAGGAAAAGATTATTTTGAAATAAAAATAGGTTGAATTCCATGCAACAAGAAAGCAGTATTTTGCTTTGCTATCTATGTGCGTGTTTTTACGGGCATTCTAGAAAAGTGGAGAAATCCTCGCAATTACTTAGTCTTATATATTTGCTACTAAAGTGGCTGGTGGTCTCAGCACATTGCTTCAGTCTGCATGGTTCTTGCCAAAGTTTGTCTGTTAAGATAATTTCTCCAGAGCTGGGGGTGTTGCTCAATGGTACTGTGCTTGTCTAGTATGGGCTTAATCCCCATGACTGAAAAAAAATTACAAGAAACAAAAACTACCTGTTCTGAAGAGACAAGGTATTTCCTTACCATTTTCTTTACGTCTTTTTTTTTTTTCAGCCCCAAACCCACCATCTATCCGAGAAGAACTCTGTACTGCCTCCCATGACACGATTACAGTGCACTGGATCTCGGACGATGAGTTCAGCATCAGCTCCTATGAGCTTCAGTACACCATATTCACTGGCCAGGCTAACTTCATCAGTAAGTCATGGTGTAGTTGGGGCCTGTGGCCAGAGATAAGGAAATGTAAGGAAGCAGTAAGCTGCTCAAGATTGGCCGGTGCGCCACGAGGCAAGTGTTTGTAAGACATGTGAGGTTGTTTAGTATAGATTTTCATAGACAGTGTAAGCTCCCCAGGGTATTGTAAAACATTACTGATGGCGACAAGCCACTTGTATATTTTCTTGCTGGGTAGTTACTGGGATCAGCCATCATGGTTTATGTAATCCATAGCCTTTTCTCAATCCATACCATGATCCAAAGTGCTGCTTCATATCTGTTCCTGGGTAGCTAAGTCACCATCATTCCATGTGTGGGAACCTCTCTCTCTCTGAGTCTCCTTCCACTTTATTATCATCATAAAATTATGTTCGCAGACCATCACTTCCTTTATCATACCTACTTGTGTTGATGAACATGTAGATCAGCCTTCTGCCCCTGTCATTCATCTCTTTAGCACTTCTGTATTTCCATAAAGAATTTCAGTAAATATAAAATCATGGAACAGCCAGCTACACTGGCTCATGCTGATAATCCCAACACAAAGGAGGTGGAGATAGTAGAATTGCAATTTCAAGGCCTGTGTCAGAAAGCAAAACAAAAGGCTGTATCAGTGGGTCATAGATAAAGATGTTTAAAAGGCTATTTATTCTTCGGCCCACATGTTAAGATGGTTTCACCTTCTGCTGAACTGGAGCAAGACCAGGCATAATAGGAACTGAACTGATTGATTGCCCTCGGTAGGCATTAAGCAGAAAGGTCCCCTCAGTTCATGGGAAGGAGGGGGTTGGGGTGAGAGCAAGCAATGGAAACAGTAATGACTTTTTCTGTCCCACCAGCCAGCTCTCAAATAATGACATGGAGATTTATTATTTAATAATTATGAAATCTTGGCCTTTAACTTAGGCTTGTTCTCAACTAGTTCTTATGACTTAAATTAACCCATATTTTATTAATCTATGTTCTATCACGTGGCGTTACCTCTCTTCCATCTTGAACCTCCTGTTTCCTCTCTGGGTCTCCCAAACCCCTATTATCTCTTCCTCCTTCTCTCTGACCAGAAGTCCCACCTATACCTCCTGCCTCTCTATTGGCCGTTCAGCTCTTTATTAAGCCAATCACAACAATATATCTCCACACAGTGTACAAATATCCCACAACAGGATCAAAGCTGAATTCAAGCAGTTGCATTTGCAAAGCTACAAATTAATATTTTCTTTTACTTTGCACTTTTCATTTATGTTTATCTTCACAGACCAACATGAATAGACTTTATTCAAATAAACCCTCCTTATAGGCTTTCTTTTCCTATTTGGTGACAAGTCATGGGCAGAATTCTGTTTTGTGACAGTAGTGGGGAGGACGGATAAGGGGATATTTGGGAGTAAAACATAAAAAAAAAACAACTTGCCTCATCCAGCTCCAATCTAAGCCACTTGAATCATGTAGCCATATGTTCCTGGGCATCTCTTCAGATTATGAAGTCACAAGCTCTAAGGCCTTACTACAAGTTTCTTCTTCCAGTTTCCTCTGTAAGTTCTGGAAGCCAGTGTCAAAGATCAGAACTATCCTTTACCTTTCTGATAGGGGAAGAGCAATCATCTCCCAGAAGTTGAGAATAGGTATGAGAGTGGACAAACTATGAATTATCACCTCTGTTCTCAATGCTATAGAGTCCTTCGTAAATGAAAGCCTAAAGAAGTTGCTACTGATGCTACTAATAATAAAGTTAATCGCACCTTAGAATTGGAATGGGTCCTCAAAGATAACTAGCCTAATCTTCTCTTCCACCAGATAAGTAGACATCTCTGCTTGAATGTTGCCAGTGAGGGCATGCTCATTTTCATGAAAACAGTCCATTTGATTGTTGGATAGCTATACATTATTTCCAGTACTTCCTTGGAAGAGGCCTGTTTCTCCTTGTAAATAATAAGGACAGAAGTAAAGCTGTGTGTGCATTCTGCTTTGCCATTTTCACACATAGTCTCTCATTTAGACCTCATGTGCTCTTAGCCTTCTAAAAGAGATTATATTGATTCAGATTTTAAATGTGAAGAAATTGGTGCTCAAGTCAAGTGAGAACAGAACTCCAAAATGATGGGGTTGAGATCCAAGCCTGTGACTGACTGCCAGACTTCAAGCTTGATGTTCCTTAATGAATCTTTTTGTGCCTCATTAACAAACTTATCCCATCTTTCACATAAGAGTTCCTCAGTTTTTTTTTTTTAGATAACCCATTTGTAACTAAAGTTAAACTTTTATGACTAAACAGTTTTAGTTCTTTTGATGCTCCTCGTACAATATGCTTTTCAGACCCTATCAGCATAGTATTCTTTTTATGGACAATCTTCTGTTGGTCAAAGTGCTTTTAAAATATGCTTTCTGTCAAAAGTGACTAAGTACTCCAAAAGTGGTTTGACTTCCCCAGAGGATAGATGAATCATGTCTTTTTTCCTCATCTAAGGCAGAGTCTCTTGTAGTTCAGGCTGGCCTTGAATCTGCTGTGTAGCCGAGAATCACTTTGAACTTCTGATTCTTCTGTCACCACTGCATGAGTGCTAGGATTGTAGGCATGTACTACCACATCTGGTTTTATGTAGTGCTGGAGAAGGAATCTAGAGCTCTCTTCACACCCGGCAAGCCCTCTATCAACTCAGGTGTGTCCCCAGTTAATGGATTATGTTTCTTGTGTGTTAGCCGCTTCCCTGTTGCTCTGTCTGTACGTTTTTGGCAGCCTCATTAACTACTGAAGGTTCCCAAGCATAATCTCCACTCAACTCACATTCAACACTTCAGAATTTATACCTATTACATTTTGTCTTGTTACCCTTTACTCTGCATCCCCTCATGCCCAGATCCTCTTAGATCTGGGTTCTACATTTGATTTTCCTCTCAGTCCTCCTGCCTCAGACTCCCAGAATACAGGAATAATAGGAATGTATCCCCCCTACCTGGTCAGAATTTTCATCTTGGTTGAAATTAAGCTAAAAGAGGTAGCTCTATCTCCTTTTAACTTTTCCCCTTGATTTGGGCTTTCTTACTACCACTTGTAAGATTTAAATGATCACATTCAGTAAGGTTTCAGGCCATACTCTAGTTGAATGAGAATTCCAACAGTTGTTTGTCTTCCTGGTTGCTACATTATCTTTATGGTTCAGGTTTTTTTTATTTTGTATTTTTATTTTGTATTTTTTCGCATTACTAGAACATTGAATACAAGCTCTGTCTGGTCAGGCAGTCTGTAACACATTGACTTTTCACTGATGCAGTTATCTCCATCACATATGTACACCCTGTTTGTTAAGTTTTCATATTTTGGCATTTCCCTTTGAATAAGCAGTGTGCTTTCATTACCATAATTCACTTGTAGGGCCCATCACACCTAGTCTTACTGACTTACACAATTGTTTTTTTTTTTTTTTTTAGCTTTATAAACTTAGGAATGGTATCGAGGGAGATCGTTCAGTGGGTAAAGTGTGAGTACCTGAGTTCAGTCCCCAGAACCTATGTAAATGCATCCTAGCATGGTAGCACACTTACAATTTCAGTGCTGGGGGGTTGGAATGAGTAAATCCCTGGGGCTTGCTGCCCAGACAACCTGGCCTACTGGATTAGTTCCAAGCCAGTGAGACTCTATGTCAGAAAAAAAAAAGATAGTGCCTGAGATAGTGCCCAGGTTTGTCTTCTGTCCCACACACACACACACACACACACACACACACACACACACACACAGAGAGAGAATGATTTCAAAATTAAAGAAAAAATGCAATACCAGTACAAAGAACACCCTGTACTTATTACCCATATTTGCTTGCTGTTAATATTTTGCTTTTTCATCTGTTAGCATTATCTCCATTTTTGGAACCGTCAGAGAGTAATTTGCATCCATTACTTCTTTTAACCCCTAAATTCTTCAATGTAGATTTCTTATAAGGAAATATCTCCCTCAATACCATTCCTAAGTTTATAGAGATAAATAAAAATATATGTGAACATAACTCCCTTCATCCTGATGAGGACCTTTCCCAGAATCATAACTTTTGATTTTGTTTAATCAGAGCTATCTGTATGACCATTAGATTGGAACTGTCCATCTAAGCCCTGCGGGTGCTTTAGTGAGTGTCTACCTTAAGGCAATGATTACCTGTCTCCCTGAATCTAGCAGTATCAAATAATTTATCAGTGAATTGTAATGTTCCTGAACCCTTCTTCCATCCATTCTTGACTGGTGGTAGGTCCACTCTTTTTTGTTTTGTTTTGGGGTTTGTTTATTTATTTAAGTTTATATGTATATGAGTGATAGCCTGAACATATACATGAGCACCATCCCTGGTGTTTGTGAGGCCAGAAGAAAGCATGAAATTCCCTAGAACTGGTGTTACAGAGAGTCATGAGCTCTCACTGGTCCATTCTTATGCAGACTCAGTGGCTGCATCCATACTTGCTATGAGTTCTGAGTACACTAGTTGAGTCTTGCCCAGAAGATGACGAGTCACAGCTTTGCTCTCTAGCTTCTGACTCTTACATTATTTCTGCCCTTTTTTCTACAAAGTTCCCTAATCCTTTATACATCTGTCAACTGTAAGAAATTTAATATCAGAAGCACGTGGATCTCTATGAGTTCAAAGCCAGCCTGGGCTACATAGTGAGATTCTGTCTCAAAAAAAAAATTAACAACCACATAATACTTTTATATAACTCAACATTTGTATTCAATGTTTGACAATTCAGTAATATTCATTATAATAGATAAAGAGCACAGCATTGACCTTGTTAATCTAGTCTTTAGCATTACATTTAATTATCATATATTTGGTTTTCTTTAGCCCAGTAGATTTCCTCAGCCCTCCTTTATCATTGATAATCTTTACCATTTAAAACAATGCCTATTTTCTAGGTGTGGTGGTACACATCAATAATTCCAGGCAGGAAGATTACAGTCTAGGACCAGCCTAGGCTACATAGGAAGACCCTGTCTTATTCTTTTTTTGTTTTTGTTTTTGTTTTTCGAGACAGGGTTTCTCTGTGTAGCTTTGGAGCCTATCCTGGCACTCACTCTGGAGACCAGGCTGGCCTCGAACTCACAGAGATCCGCCTGCCTCTACCTCCCGAGTGCTGAGATTAAAGGCGTGTGCCACCAATGCCTGGCTCCCTGTCTTATTCTTAACTTGAGTTTATCTGATACTTCCTCACAGTTTATATTCAGGTCATGCATTCCTTACTGTAATAATGCATAGATGATAGAATATAACAGTAACAGTATACTTCTTAGGATATCATATCTGGATGCATGCAGTGTCCATTTACATTACATTCTTAGTGCTAATTTTGATTACCTGACCAATGTTACCTGACATTTTAAAATTATGTATTTCTGTTTTTTTCTGCTACCAAGAAGCAGTCTGTATGGTGATGCTTTGAAACCATAAAAACATCCTGCTTCTTCATCAAACCCATGTCACCTCATTCTTACCCCCTATTGGGCATCAATTGATGATTTTTGTTCCATACAGTGTTTATACGATGGTTGTGAAATGACAGTTTTCCAGCTGAGCACTCTTTCCCACACTTATAAATTGTTACTCAATATTCTTCTGTGTAGCAAGAGCCTCTTCCTATTTCATATTTTTATTTTATTCATCAGTAGAGACATGTGGATGCATTTTCATCAATGATTTAGAATTTTTTAGTACCTTCATTTTTCTTGTGTAAATGTCCCAGATTTAACCAGTGAGAGCCTTTCAAGGCAATTCCGTGGTTTGTATGATATTTTCCTGTGAGCATATTGTTTTGCTTTCTGGCCAAACAAAAATATTGTAGACTCATTTTAACTTTATCCTGCCCAAACCTTCAAGTCACCTGTTTTCCTGGGAGCCTTGGTTACTTTTAGTAGGACAGTGATATTAGAAACTAAAGCCTTAGTGTACACACACACACACACACTATACTAAATTATTACCCTTCTGTTGCTGTGATAAAGCATCATGACAATAGCAACTTACAGAAGAAGAGTTTATTTGGGCTTATGATTCCAGTGGCTTGGAGTCTATGATGGCATAGCTAAGGCATAGTAGCAGGAACATCGGGCTGATAACTCACATCTTGAACGGAAACAGGAAGCAGAAAGAATGAACTATGAATGACACATGGCTTTTAAAAACTCCAGTGACACACTTCTTCCAATCATACCTCCTAAACCTATCCACACAGTGCTACCAATGAGGGACTAAGTATTCAAGCTTCTGAGCCTATGGGAAGCATTCTTATTAAAACCACCACATATCCATATGTACATAATCTACATATGTGTACATCTATATGCAAAATTGGAAACATGTATAATTGCCTGCTAGAATCTATGTGGGATTGGTTACATGACCTTTTGAGGATCCCAGAATCTGTCAAGGCTCAAATCCCTACATAAAATGGTGTAGTATTTGCATATAATCTATAGCCATCTTCCTGTATACTTTAAATCATTTCTAGACTATATTTCCTCTTAAAGTATAAATTCTGTAAATAGTTATCTTACTGTTTAGGGAATAGCATGGAAAAAGGACTATTTTTAGCCTCAGACATCTTGGCATATTTAGGGAGGCTAAGGCTGAGGTTGAATGATCGTGAATTTGAGGACAGCCTAGTCTATATAGGGAATTCAGGCTAGCCTGGGCTCCATGGTAATGTCCTGTCTCAAATCTTGAAATCTGTACTTTGTTTGGGTTGGAGAGACAGCTTAGTGATTAAGAGTACCAGCTATTGTTAACTGAGGACCCCGAATAATTTTCCAGCACTCATATGGCAGCTCACAACTGTCTGTGAGTCCAGTTCCAGGGGATCTGACACTCCCTTCTAGACTCTGTGGGTGCTGCGTACACTTTGTGCACTTATATACATGGAGGCAATACACCCATAAAATAAATTAATCTTTTTTAAACACCTTAAAATCTGTAGTTGATTGAATCATTAATTGCAGAATCCACAGATAAAGAGGGCTAACTGCATATTTTAGAAATCATACAGTGTTGTGTGAGAGGCTTTTCCTGAGGACACAGACACAGACACAAACACAGATACAGACACAGACACAGACACACACACACACACACACACACACACACACACACACACA